ACAAACGATTTTCTAATACATGCTCAATTTCGTCGGCGAAAAGCTGCTTGACAGAATACTTTGACTGGCAGCTTTCGCACATAGGTATCTTCCGCCGACCTTCCTCTATTGATTGGTGAAAACCGCTGTTGGAAATAACTTTTCAAACAAAAGTTACACAACTTTCTTCCACCTGTCTCTTTTGAATTTCGATAGTAGTTTCTGTAGTGAAGTATCGGGGAGGATTTTTCTCCACAAACGATATAGAGCAAAACGAATTTGGCCGGAACCTTCCTAAAAACCCTAGTCAGGCTTATAAAATACCGCTATTGATACTTTGGTGGAAGATACTAGAAATACCATTATTTGAAATATTTCTGGGTTAATAATTATTCCCTTTTCTGAAAGAAAGGGTTATACACCGGTTACGTCTGCGGCTCGAAATGCTCAAAGTTGATCTGTCTGTCCAAACGTGTCAGAAATCAGCGTTTGTCAAATCAATTAAATTTTAAAAAATGTCTTTCTACTAAGAAAAATTATTGCTCTTACCTTGATGCATTTATCACGTCTATCATCTATTTTTGTGTTGTACTTTACAGTGATCGTTATTGATTGATGGCCTAAAATATCTAATTTAGGTTTTCTATTTCGAAACGTTCGAAAATTTATACATTCAAATAGTCGAAAAAATACATCGATATGGAATGGATACAATCTTACAGATAAGTTCAGACAGTATCAATCTTTTAAAAAATGAAGAGGAAGATAAATATAAGTATATAAGAATAAAATCAGAGCCAATTTCTGTATAAGTCATCTCGTTTAAAAAAATACAATTTGATCGGATGATTTCTTGTCTTGTGTACTGATCCATACAAATTGTAATCTATCAATCCATAAACCTGATCTACCTTTCGCATATGCAAATATATAACCAGGATAATGTTCTGTTGTTTTTTCTGCATTTTCAGTCGATCCGAATATATCACTGGCTTCTCCTTTTACAGTAAAAAATTGTATAGCTGTAATAATCGGTATGGTGTTCTGAATCCATTCATATCGTTGACGCTTTCCAACATAAACATCTATCTTTTCAATATGATCATCTTTTTTCAAGATGAATATATCTTGATTTAAGTCTAATGAATCAACGCTTCCTCCATCACGACCACGATGCTTCCCGGAACGATTATATTTATTGCTTGATGTTTCGTATTGGAAACAAATCGATGTTAGTTTTTTATCGTACCCTCGATCCCAATGAAGTTCGATCTGTACGCAATAATGACGATTTGGACCAGTTACGGTCAAAGATAAGTCTTTAGCATCATCGAAACTTGTTCCACCATCTCCACCAAATCGTTTCCCATCGATGAGCATCGTATTTCTAACTGAATAATAGAGATATATACATTAGATTCATTTTCTCATTAAACAAAGCTAACAACGGCGATCGAACTATTGTATATATATATATATCTTCATTTCTGGTGAGTGTTACACAATTGGAAGGGGGTCAGTACCTCATTTGCTTCGTTTTGAACTCAAAAACTACATTTATATCAATCTCCCTTATCAATGTGTCGACATTCACGTTTGAAATAAATACAAAACGACTTATACGCACCGTCGATAATCTCCATGGACGAGTACTGCACTGACGACAAATTTACGTGAAATTACGAAGTGTATTTTGCTTTTTATTGCGCGAAAAAATCGGCAGGTACACACTCCCCTTTATTCTCTCGTTCTCTACCTGATTGAGATACCTAGCAAAAATACCTCGTGTCTAAAATATTTTTTCGTCTTGAAAATAAACATTGTCGTATTACTTTGGTTAATGATGCAAAACATTTTCATATTAATTTATTGCCCTCGTAGTCTTGACTTCGAAATTTGCATTTTGTTGTTTTTATTTCTCTCGCATTATTGCACTGAAAAATATAACAAATATGTTTTTTAAAATATTACTGTTACCACGGATTCCAACAACTACTTAGACCAGTCCGAAAGTAGTGAGCGAGTCACATTGTAATACTGTACAGTAAGCTTTAGGAGCCTTTCTTTCCAGATGGATTTTGTAGAAAAAACAATGATAATAAAATTAGCATGAAAATATAGAAGATAAGAATGCAATTCGTTCATACTATCATCCACGCGTACTCTTGTTTGAATCTTGTGGTTGTTTTTTCCTACGCTATTCTTTGTCCTTCTCGTCTTGTCCCAGTTACTGCAGATTTTTTGGCACTAGCTCGTCATTGCCAAGACTGCGCCGCAATCATTAAAAAATAGGGAACATGGAAATATATGATGTCACTTACAGCACGATACAATCATTCAGAATCGTTTTGATTCTTCAAATTTCGCCTAATCAAGTCGAGTAACCAAAGATCACATGATAAGAAATCTAGAAAATCTGGTGTTCCATTATCGTGAAATTTTGTTACACGAGTACCCAAAAACCGTCTGCTCTCCTTGATTCCGCTAATAATCAACTGCAAACAAATTTTCACATGGTATTCATAATTGATAGTCCGGCCACGTTCAACACCATATATTGAAATAACGAGCAGTAACTTTTAAAGTTTCAGATGATCAAAGGTTATTCCGTGAATAGTGTGAAAACTCAAAGTGAGTCTCAATTTGCGCTTCTTCGATTGTAACATGAGAATCACCATTCATGCTACTTTGGACTTGCTCAATGTTTTTCAGAGTTGTTTCAGTATTAGGTCTACCCGATTGATCTTTGTCTTCAACCTCCTCCCGATCTTCCCTGAACTACTGTGTAGTGATTGTGAATAATTGTCGGTCGAATGTTAAGTGCGGCACGTAGTTTAATGTAGAAGTGAAACTTTCGTTATTCATATGAAACAAAAATGAATTGTGATCTCAACTTAATGAAGAATTGATCATTACAGGTGACACGGCGAGAAGGACAAAGAATAGTGTAGGAAAAAACAACCACAAGATTCAAACATGAGTACGCGTGGATGATAGTATGAACGAATTGCATTCTTATCTTCTATATTTTCATGCTAATTTTATTATCATTGTTTTTTCTAGAAATCCATCTGGAAAGAAAGGCTCCTAAAGCTTACTGTACAGTATTACAATGTGACTAGCTCACTACTTTCGGACTGACCTAAGTACAATCCGAACTTGATTATCTATGGGATTGCTTTCTACAACGGAGTGAGCATTGGATTTTTGTTTTCATTCCATTCCAACGAAAACATCAAACGTAGCTTTTGTATCTTAGGAAAAAGCAATGCCAAATCTATCATTGATACAATTTGCTTCTCGAGATACCGTTAGTGGCGTTCAAAAACTAACAGTTCGGCAGAGTGATCAAACATTCACAGTAAGCAACTTGTTGAAATATACCATGCAAGATTAGTCACTTAATGAAATCAAGCAGATGGTGCACAAATATCTTACTGAAACAGACAGTATTCACTACTTATCACATAGTGAATACGAGAAATTTTTGTCAAAGACAATCTCGTAAATCTGACATGATGAGTCTGATTAAGCTTTTCAGATTACCACTTTGATTATGGATCACGTTTATACACGTTTTGAAGTTTTACAGATAATGTCATCATTATAATATCATTTAAATCCCATCGAAAGGACTCCTCCTACCTTGGCAACATTACTGCGTTATCATTCCGTATTGCTACGTGTGTATATGTTGTCTCTTGCGTTCTAGTAAATTCCGATATATCGTCTTTCATTCCTCCTATAAATGAAAAACTTTGATTCTATTCCAGAAACAAATGGTATCTTTGAGTATATATTCGCATGCAAGCGAAGTAAATTTTTATTATTCATTCCCATCACATAAGACTCTTTGCTAATTGTGGCAACCAGCACGACTAACGATCCACATGAAATTCAAATGGATCGCGAATACGATGATGATTCTGATATGGAAATCGATGAATCGGATTATGAAGCAGCACCACCAAAAATCAACCTACTAATCGAAACTGGAGTAAAACCACTCTCGAACCGCATCTCTTTCATTTCGATGAACAAAATTGTGGTGTGTCATTGAACATACAAGCTACGAATGATAGCACACGTCTTAACTTTTTCGAACTTTCGTTTAAAAGAAAAAAAATTGTTTTGGTTGTCAAAGAAACGAACAAGTATCAGGACATCTTTACCACCAATGTAGCACATAATACAGCTTCTCATCAAGTAAAATGGACACCGACAAACCGCTCTCAAATATACACTTTTCTAGCTACAATTATGCTTATGTCTATAACTAGGAAGCATAAGATCCGCGACTACTAGCCAATAAATCCAATGATTATCACACTTATGTTAGGACAACTATTTTATAGAGACAGGTTTCTTATGCTCTGGAAGTGCTTACATTTCAACAATAAGCCAAATCAAGTAGACGGCGACAGATTGTATAGAATCAAATCAATAATGAATGATTTACGGTAGAAATTCGGATTACTTGTTATTCCATACCAAAACTTATGCATAGACGAATCACTTGTTCTTTGAAAAGGTCGTCTGGCGTTCAAACAGTGTATATCAACTAAACGGCATCGATTTGGCATAAAATTATTCGCTATTTGCGATCGTCAAACAGGAGTGATGCTGGATTTCATTATCTGTGCTGGTTCGTCTACAGACCTCGATCTAGATCAAAATTTGGGAAAATCAGGATCGCCAGTTATGACTGTGATGAAACCGTATTGGAGCAAGGGATACTGACCTTTTGTCGACAGCTGGTATACCAGTCGTCGTCTATTCGAAGAATTATATGAATATTAGACCGGTGCGTGTGAAACTATACGTAACAACTGCCTTGGTTCGGTTTAATTCGATAGATTGAAAAAAGGAGATTTCGACTATAAAAATAATAACAATTTAATGGTTCTAAAATGGCAGGGCGAAAGAGCAGACATTATGTTGTCTACAATTCACAAACCGAGGATGATACAAACATGAAAAAATGATCGGAATACTCAAAAAGCAATTGAAAAACCAGAGTGTATTGTTCATTACAACGAGAACATCGACTTAGTTGACAAAACTGATACGCAGATCCGTTTTGTAGAATGCACCCGAAAGACTGTTAACCCTTTGGGGACGGGGCGACTTTAGCAAAAGAAACCGAATATTTTTAGAATGTTAGTATGACCTATTTATTAAAAAATGTCCACAGATATCTAAAAGTATTTCAAGTCAGTTGTTACGTATATTTTCACACGCNCGGAACTAACCGAAAAAGAGAAAATTATTTTCTCTAAAGCAACACATGTCGACGTTCTTTGTGCGACTTTCCTTTAAATGAGATTTTTAAGCGAAAATAGTGAGGAGTGAGATTAACATGAAACAGAAACAAAGATTTCAAAGTCCAATGTTCGGATCTGTTGAATGACAGTTTACACTTCTAGTCGAATACCATAAAGATGATTCGAATCTAATCAGTAATACGTCGTTGGTAATAATTTAATATGAATATTTTCTTCAATTCTTCTCGGTAAATACTTCCCGAAAGAATATAAACGAATGTAGAGAAAACATAATTACCTTGTTGCCAAAGGAGAGTCATACTTCGGATATTATTAATTAAACTTGTATTCATCGAAGGTACCAATGTCGTTAAGATATATGTTACTGCAGCAGGAATAGAGAAGAAAACATATGCAGTAACTTGAACAATTAACATTCGAGCTAATTGACTTTCCGTTCGACGGTGACGACGAGAATGTATTGTTGATACACGACGTACTTGACTTCGAATGTTAGAAATTGTTAATAGACCAAATATGCCCATGACTAATGGTGCTAAGATATAATAAACAATAATTCGACTAGTAAAATAAATAATGATAATCGTTGATGATAATTGTGTACATCGATTAGTCGTAAAATTCCAATAATAGATAATACAAAATGGACTTATATAAATCAGAACCGAAATAGTGATGACAATAATCAATATTTGTGCCATTCGTATATTACTTAGATTACGTAAACGCACTGAAGAAGAACTAGCAAAAAATCGATCAATTGAAGCACATACCAACATTAGAGTAGCAAGTAATGATGATGAATAAATGATAAACAACATACTTCGACATCCAAATGATGTAGTAATAGCTGAGATTCCAAAACGATATTGAAGAAATAATATCATTGGCGAAACAATCATATAGATGAGAGAAGCAAATGCCAAAGCAAGAAAATAATGACTACATGAATATGATCGGAGATTTCCACGAGAAAAAACAATAATATTAATAATATTAGCAATCATTGTAAATATAAGTATAATTGGTGAAATATACGTGTAGATTATACCGAGTTCATAGCTTAAATTCGTTGATGTCGATGAAGTTGTAATATTCATAGTATTTGATATTTTAATCATATTTTTCACCCACTTGTTGTGCCATTTAATGTGTTTGTGCTTGTCGTCAATTGACGTCAGAAAATATCTTATCCGTAAGTGCATTTTAGATATTAGTAAAAAAATTTAATGTTCAACAGTTAATTAGACATAATCTTCTGGCGATTACTTCCTTTGGCAAGAACGCAGTTTTATATCATGAAAACTTTTTATTTTAGAGTGCAATGTAGTTCTCCGAGTAGAAGTACATAATGAGAACATGAGCATTAATGTGAAAAACTACTGTCAAAATGATTCTGATTCTCTGTGATAAATTATTTATTACTTTCTCATTGTTGTATGATTATCTTTACAGTTTTCCACAGAACTTTTATCAAATGTATCATGTTAAATAGGTATTTTGTATGTTGATTGGTGATTTGTGTATATCAAATAAATTGTTTACTATCATGTCTAATGGCAACGTTAGCAGAAAAAAAAATTTTCCAAAACAGATTTGTGTCATCTTATCAGATAAAAAATATAGAGAAATATTTGAGAACGAAAGTCGAGTATTAAACAAAGGCATCAGAGTAGATTATTTAATGCGTTATAGAAGTTTACAAGATATTCCATTCGGTTCGGATAACAAACTAATTTCTGCGAATTGGATATGCTGTTCATTACACACTTTACCTTATCAATAGCTGACATATGTCACTTAGGATATGAGAATGATGATCGTGTGCTTTATTCTAATGAACTCCTTGCCCTCACCTTCACTATTCTTTCTTGCAATCTTCTCCATTTTTAATTTCATTTGTACTTGCAATACTCTAAGTTAAAATAATATGATGATCATATCCAAAAGTAGATAAAAAATTATGAATAGATTTGAAAAAAGATTTGTAAAAGTTTTAAGTTTTACAAACGCATACTCAATACGTATACAAAAATGGAACGAATATTTCCATACAGTATTACTGTAATTTGAAGAAATTTCTTTTAGTACTAAAAATTTTAATAATAAGCATAAATATATTTTTGAAATATAAATAGATTTATCTCATTATATCACTTATTCGCTTATCATTTTTTAATTTCTACTAAAAGAAAATCTCGCATAACATCTTTCGAGAAGAAATTGTATCTATGTAATAAAACTATCATTCGAAGATGATAATATTCAACTTTCAGTATAAATTAACCTGTAATTTCATATGATTGCTATGATCATTTATGAATTCGTCGTTGTCATTTTCATTAGGAAAATCATTTGGAATAGTAACAACACACACTTCAGCAACAGACATCATACATTTGTATATCGAAATGTTGGAAAAATCAATAAGAAAAACCCTCTTTCCTATTTCGTCATTTTATATATTCAATACAGTATAAACATCATGAAATACGTTTCTTTCTCATGACTATTTGAAACAATAGTGGTTATTTATTTATCAATTACGAATCAGTAAAGAATACAAAAATAAGACTAATTAGTACTAGTTATTACATGAAAGAAATATCAATAATCATTTTCTCTTACTTAAATTTTGCTACAATTTAGATAATGAGAGGGAATCAAAAATGAGTGCACAAAATATATTTACTCCAGAAATAGAAAGTGAGTATTCGTGTTTGTACTTGAGAGACAAAATAAAATACATTTTCGAAGTAAAATTAATATTTCAATCAGTGATTGGATACTTAGTATTTAATAAAAAAATCCTCTGTCTCATCATATTTTGCGAAGAAAGCATGGTTGTTCACATGAAGGAGAATATCTTTATAAAATCTATTTCTATTTGTTTCTTTTACACATGTATAAAGGATAGCTATGTAGAAGTCCATTAAAATATTGAATATGCAATAAAAGTGAATGATTTTCTTTAGTGAAATGCGAAATTTTATTAAACTCAATAAGACGTAGCTGAGAAATGACAGATAGATAAGATCTGCTCACCAGGCATCACCGTGATTACTTTCGGTATTCATCAATAAAAACGATTATTCGCAATCGTTGAAACTCGTTAGAACAGGTCTATAATGTTTAAGTAAATTGATTAAATATCCAGATTTTGTTGTTCTTATAGACGCCAGTGAAGTCTGGACTTTTGGAATATTCGTAGGCAGAATCAGCTTCGAAGACAATTATGGTATTATTAAAAAGTACTAAGTACAAAGTGTACTACAGTACCAATACCCAGTACCGTTTACTTAAGTACAATCGTGCTCAGTACATGTACACAGGAATGGCTGGAAAAAGGCCGAAAGACCAAATGTCGAAAAGAATATTAAGAGAGAGAGAATATATTGAACGATAAAGATATGAGTAGCAAACAATCAGTATCAAATCATTAGATATTTTTTGAACGAAAATAGAAACAGAAATTACAGCCTGTGTTTATATGAAATTACTTCATGAAAGATAATGTTCGTTCATTTATTTTCTCCTTGATTTGATATTCTTGGCAATAACGTACGATAATCCTTCCAAGAGTTCACTAGAATTAATGTCATTATTTTCATAACGAAGATACAACAGATCGATTCTGTGCTGAATAGCACAAGTTTTCTTTGTCTTCGGTCGCGCAACAAGACCACCTTTCATTTGAATTAGTATATGATTGAAACGATTTTCTTCACCTTTAATACATTCAATAAATGCCCAAGTGTTTCGGCGATACTTTGACATTCGTGAGTTGAGACGATTATGGTAGCCTAAGTAAACACATCATCGAAACAAAGATTAGCGTTAATTAGTATTAAAAACCTTCAGCGTTGTT